TGAGAATATAACTTTACAGGGACTCTAACAAGTTTTTAAGGTCACAAGACTCTACTGTAGTATTGTTGGAAGCAAATTTTATTTCAAGGGCTTTCAAATTTTTAAATTATCAATAAAAAGTAGTAATATCATTGAATATAAATTTAAACAGTTAAAATAACTATAAAATCCAAAAAAATAAACATTAAAAACAAACACACAGCCTGGCCAGTGTGGCTCAGTGGTTGAGCATCGACCCATTCACCAAGAGGTTGCCAGTTTAATTCACGGTCAGGGTACATTCCCAGGTTGTGGGCCAAATCCCCAGTGGGGAGCATGCAGGAGGCGGCTAATCGATGTTCTTTCTCATAGATGTTTCTATCTCTCTCTCTCTCTCCCTCTCCCTGCCTGCCTCTCTAAAGTCAACAGAGAAAAAAGAAATTAAAAAACAAAAACAACACACACACACAGAAAGTAGGTTTGTAGGTAGAAGAAATAGTACTACCTATTTTGCACAAAAGCTTATTCTCTAAGGTTTATGCCCTTCAACTCTGCTACCATTCAACCCATAAACCCTCACTCACTATCATCTAACCCCCTATTCACTGAAGACTGAGACCAAGCTTATAGCAACCTTCTTCATAATCTCAAAAGATTCATCATCCATTTGCATGATCCACCCAGCCTCAAAATTTTTAAACCTTCATTTCTATTCAACTTTAGCCAACCACTTCCAGGGGTACACTAAGTTCTCACATCACCTGAGACTGCTCCACCATAGACATTTTAAATCCCAATAAGTCATTCTTTTATCATCTATATTCTTTCATAAGCTTACTCACTCCATTTTCTACCTTCTGTTGGAATCCTCACTTTTCTTCCTTTCATACCCACCCAGCCTAGATTAAATGGTGTGTCATCTGAAGCACCTTTGACTGGAATCCTTATCCTTTCCTTATATCTAAACTAGCCCCAAATCAGTGTTACAAGTTCACTTTCTTCATCCCTACACCAAGATGGTTGAACACAAATAGAGGAAAATCATGAGTTATCCATCATATAGGCCCACATTTTTTTGGAAAACTGACTTAGCCTCATTTCTACTCATTTTTCTAGGTGTAGGACATGAATCAGGCTGAGCCAATCAGGTCATCCTTACCTCCTGATGACAATGATAGGTTCAGGTATAAGCATCTGATTGACACAGTCTAATCAGAGTGAATAACTAGAACTTTATTGGTAATGCTAAGAAAACGATTCTCAAAATTAACAAGGAAGCATTTAGCTTATCTGGACCTTGAAGAGGAATCAACCTTAAAGTAAAGATGACATCAAATAAACAGACCATGACATGAAAGAAATCTAATCCTAATGATATCATTGAGCCACTGGTTCCAGACCAAAGCCAGTGAATCCCACTTAATCTCTCGACTTTTTAGTTCTATGAACCAATAAACTTCATTTTAGCAAGGGTTTCGATTGTGGTTTCTATTAATTATGAGCAAAATAATCCTGACAGCCCTGGCCGGTTTGGCTCAGCGGTTAGAGTGTCAGCACTTGGACCAAAGGGTCTCAGGTTTGAATCCCAGTCAAGGGAACATACCTGGGTTGGAAGTTAGATCCCTGGTCCTGGTCAAGGGTCATGCAGGAAGCAGCCAATCAATCTGTCTCTTACATATCGATGTTTCTCTCTTTTGCTCTCTCCCTCCCTCCCCTTCACTCTATCTAAAAATCAGTGGAAAAAAATACTCAGGTTGAGGATTAACAACAACAACAAAAAGTAATAGAGATAAGATAGTCAAAGCGAGGAAGGGTTAAGGAACATATCCAAGATCATGCAGCTATCCACTTCCTAATTGACTCAATCCAGACCCTTCACATTCTTAAAAAAAAAAAAAGAAAGAAAAAAAGAATCCTGATACATTAATATTTGGGTTGAGACAGACATCAACAAATCAGGCTAATAATACCTTAGTTAATGCCCAGCTAGTTGCCTATTTTAGTCTAACCTTAGTTCCCAGTTATCAGTAATCAGAGCTTTCTTTTTCCTCTTAGCCAGTATCTTACTTACAGCAGATCCTCAAAGAGTATTTGTTGAAACAAATTAGCATGGCAGGATCTAGAATAAGCATCTGAGAGGGATTATTTTACAAGTTCTAACAGTATTGTCTTCTAAAAGCAACAAAACCAACTTCGAGACAGTGTTAGTTTCAAACATTTTTGGTTGCACTCCACAATAAGCAATGTGTTTTATATCATGATCTGGTACACATAAAATCTATATAACTGAAAAAAAAATTCAAAGAAAATATCCCCTAATACATGTAAAGTGCTCTGCTATTTTCTCTTCTTTTTTTAAATCCTCACCTGAGGATATTTTTCCATTTTATCTTCAGATAGAGTAGGACTGGGGAGAAGGGGAGAGGGAGAGAGAGGGAGAGACAGAGAAACATTGATATGAGAGAGACATGCATCAATTGGTTGCCTCTCGCACGACCCCAACCAGGGCCAGGATGAATAGCAACTGAGGTAAGCGCCCTTGACTGGAATAGAACCCATGATCCTTTGGTCCATGGGCCGACGCTCTAACCACTGAGTCAAACAGGCCAGGGCTCTTCTTTTCTTAATGGCTCATCATTACTGATCAAACTGATTTCATACCATTCACAAGGGTAATAACTTTACATTGAAAAAAAAAAAACAGTTTTAGGTGTTCTCTTAACTCAATATGGGAGACATCTATGACTTGCTAGTAAACAGATCCTGCAATTAACAAAAATTATTTTTTATAACCTGAAAAATCGGTGGCTAAGTAGTTACAAATGACATCCCATTTATTACTAGCAGATTACCACCAGCAAGTAAATCAAACCCTCTCAGGTAAAATGTCCATGAAATTTCCTAACCACAAAGTTCAGAGAATTCCTAACACTAACTAGAGAGAGACAGAGATAGAGAAAGGAAATCAAGAAAAAGAGAAAACTAGCCCTGGCCGGTTGGCTCAGCGGTTAGAGCGTCGGCCCACCGACCGGAGAGTCCCAGGTTCGGTTCAGCTAAGGGCGTGTACCTTGGTTGCAGTTTGTCACTGGCCCTGGTTGGGGTTGTGTGGGTGGCAACCAGTCTATGTGTGTCTCTCTCTCTTCCTCCCTTCCACTCTATCTGAAGATAAATGCAAAAAATGTCTTCGAATGAGGATTAAAAAAAAAAGAGAGAGAGAGAGAAAACTAGGAATCATTAATAAAAAGGAAGGATCCAAAAACTTCCTTTGCCTAGCATTTTAAAGCCTTCTATATTATCACACTATGGCCAACCTTATCTCCTTCTACTTACCCGACGACAAAATTTCTTCACTCCTGACAAGTTACTCTCTTTACTGATACACATAAAAGGTTCACATTAACCTTCAAGCTATTTCCCCTGCCTAGAATCTGGTTCCCTTCTCTTATCCAAAACTTATTTATCCAAACTCTACTAGTCCATGAAGGCATGCTTTCATATCTCCTCCCTCTATCTTCCTATAGATTTGTAGTCCACAGAAGTTACTTGACAGCATCATAAAAATGTGTTGAATGTATTGTTCAAATGATAAAATAAGATAAGCAATTTAAAAACACTTTGGAGATTTCAAGGTATTATTTTCTGAAGAGCATTAGGTTAAAAAAAAAAAAGTAATAAATCAATAGACTTCTATCACAAACCAAATGACAATCTTTAGGGATGCCCTACCTGGAAAACACTTTTCCAGGAAACCCCTGGATTATTGTCACTATCAGGCCCACAACCTGGGCATGTACCCTGACCAGGAATCAAACTGGCGACCTCTTGGTGTATGGGTGGATGCTCAACCACTGAGCCACACCAGCAGGGCCACTGAAGACATTTTAAATTATTTTAAAATAAAATACCATTTTCTGCTAGAAACTCTTTTAATACATTTAATACATTTTAAGTTTGATTCTAAAGTATTTCAGCTGAAATGTTAAACATATCCTCATATTTATAACTTTTAAGTGTATAATACTTTATTGTTGACTATAGTTACAATGTTGTTAGACTCTCTTAAAAGACCCTCTCCTTACCTTACCCATCACTGGTGGTAGAACTAGTGTGAGTAAGCTTCCGACAACAACATAATGGCCATTTGTTAGGATCTATCTCTTCAAGGTAATGGGCTTTAAGAGCATCTAAAGAGCTTGATCATTTCAACTGCTGAAAAGCAATGAAAAACCCTATGCCAAGATGGGATCAAATTATGTAATTTCTAGGTACACCTCCCCCCCCCTTAAAATAATATTTAAAGCCCTGAGAAATGCCAGGGTGTAGTGGGGGAAAAAAAAACTTTAAAGATCACTAACATTTAGACCTCAGTTCATACAAGCCAAGCATTACAATAAATCCTTTACATGAATTACTTCCTTTAATCCACGTACCAATCTAAGTAGATACTATTAATTTTATCATCATCCCCACTGTACCGTTAAGACACGAAGCTCCGAAAGATAACAAGTCCAAAGTCATAAGTAGCAGAGACGCAAACCCAAGTGTTCCTGCCACCTGGAAGTTACACCTGTACGCAGTTATGTCCTTGCTCTTACCTACTACATTACTAATCTGGCTTTGTCATTTTTCGCAAGTCATATATCAACTCAGGATCTCAGTGTCTTCATCTGCAAAAATAAAGCAACGAATGCTAAAGTTCCTTACAGCTCTGTCTAGCTTCTGTATTATCAACCTTACAATCTCCCTAGCGTCAACAAGCCAGTGCCATTCCATCTTTTAACTGAATTCAACTAAAAAAACACAAAAACATTTACGACGCACCTACTACGTGCCCCACTTTGTGGTGGGCAGCAGCCCAAGCCCAGGTTCCCCATTCTTTCTGCTCCCGCCCCTGGGAGCGTACAGGCCCCTTACCCCCAGCAAATCCCTAGAACCCAGCTGGGGTCTTTTCCCGTCCAGAGCCCCTACTGGCACACTCCCGCCTCTGGCCGGGCCCAGCTCTGGTCCCTGGATCCACTCACCCTTGAGGTGGTCTCTGCTGCCCGGCGCTGTGGGACCCTGCGTCCCGGCTGCCCGGTCCCCCGGCGGGGTTGTCTGGAGTGCCCTCGTCTGTGATCTTTCGGCGACTCTGCCTTTCGCCATGGCTACTGCAGGAAGAGGCGGGGTGATGCTGCACCCCCTGAACAACTCCGCCCCAAGCGCCTTATAGCTCCCAAGAGCCACAGCCAGTTCCGGGGTGACCACCAAAGCGGAGACGACCTCAGTCGGCGAACACAGTGACGCTCCGCGGAGACCTGCAGCGCCCACTGGCATTCGGCTCCGCCCCGCGCCTCGCGCGCTCACTCCCGCCCAGTGACCGCGAGACAAGTCGGGGTTTCGGCCCTCCCCATTCACTGACCCGCCCCGCCTCTCTACTGCGGGAAGCATGCGCAGTCGCGGCAATGGAGTCATGCGGTGTGACTGGCGGACCCAAACTTCCAGTGCGCAGCTCTAGTTATCCGGAAGTGCAGTTCCAGAGACTTCAAACCCTTTGTTCCGGACTCCGGAAGTGCCTGTGAGTGACTAGCTGGCATTTCGCAAAGGGTGCTGATTCAGCCCACTCCCGTCTTCACCAGTTCTAAAGCTACTGTCTGGAATTTGGAGGGGCTAAAGAATGTTTGGTATGAAGATGATGGAAAACATAAAACCTGAGGCGATTCTACGGAGTTTCAGAAAACTAAGGCTGAAGGAGGAGCTATAACCGGTGAAGGTCACAGGGTGGCAGAAATGAGTTTTCCTGTTCCCAAGCAAGTGCTGTCCTTAGTCATCGCCCTGCCGCCCCTCTCTAGTGAACCCAGGTCTGCTCATTACCTTTAGCTTTTCCTTTGGCTGAGCGCAAAGGTGCCTTTTTTCGAGTTACTTTTTCCACTCCTACCTCTCCCAGCAGTATTCGGTTTATTCATGGGAGAATGTATTGGAATTCTCTCTTGAAAGCAACTTGGCAGTGTGTATAGAAACTCTGTTTCTATCCAGTAATTACATTTCTAGGAAACTATTCCTTGGAAATAAACATGCAAACAGAGTTGTTTCTAACAGTATTATTAGTATACTGGCAAATGTGAAAGCAATCTAAAAACCTAACACTAAAGGAAAATGGTTAAGTCCCTGGCTAGGTGTTCAGTTGGTTAGAGCATCGTGGACATAACGCCATTGTTGGAGGGCTCCATCCTCAGTCAGGGCACATAGAAGAATCAACCAATGAGTGCATGGATGAGGGAAACAACAAATGGATGTTTCAAAATCTCTCTCTAAAATCAATACTTTTTTAAAAAAAGAAAAATGGTTCAGTAAATTATGGGAGATCCATTTAATGGAGCTATTTTTATGTGCACATCCTCTGCCTACTACTAGTAAGGCCTTCAGTGACCACTCCAAGAGGTAGTTCTCCATTTTATTTCCTTTATATACTACTTTACTGAATTCATTGATCAGTTCTAGTTGTTTTTTGGTGCAATTTTTAGGGTTCTCAATACATGTCATCTGCAAATAATGGAAATTTTACTTCTTCCTTTCCAACTTGGATGCCTTTTATTTCTTCTTGTTTGATTGCAGTGGCTAGGACTTCCAGTACTATGTTGAGTAAAAGGTGGTGAAAGCAGACATCTCTGTCTGCTTCCTGATCTTTAGAGAAAAGCTTTTAGTTTTTTCCCATTGAGTATGATGTGGGCTGTGGTTTGGGCATACATGGCCTTTATTACCTTGAGGTATGTTCCCTTTATCCCCACTTTGCTAAGAGTTTTTGTCATAAATGGGTGCTGGATTTTGTCAAATGCATTTTCTGCATCTATTGATATGATCATAGGACTTTTTTTTAATCCTCACCCCAAGATACTTTTTTAATTGATTTGAGAGAGAGAAAAAAACATAAATGTGATAGAGAAACATCGATTGGTTGCCTCCCGTACATGCCCCAACTGAGGATTGAACTTGCAACCTAGGTATGTGCCCTGCCCAGGAATCAAGCCCACAACCTTTTGGTGTACAGGCTGTTGCTCCAACCAACTGACCCAGCCAGGGCTGATGATTATATGACTTTTATCCTTCGCTTTATTTATGTGGTATATGAAGTTAACTGAACCAAATTGATTTGTGATATTGTTCCAACCTTGCATCCCAGGAATAAATCACACTTGATCGTGGTCTGTGGTATTTTTAATGTATTGCTGAATTTTTTTTTGCTAATATTGTGCTCATCAGGTATATTGGCCTATAATTTTCTTTCTTTGTAGTGTTTTTATTTGGTTTTAGAACTAGGATAATGCTGGTCTCCTAAAGTGAGCTTGAGAATCTTCCCTCCTCTTGAATTTTTTGAAATAGTTTGAAAATAAGTGTTAGTTCTTTTTATTTTTTTGTATGTGCCCCTAGTGGAACCAAGCCTGGGACTCTGGTCTGCAGGCCGATGCTCCAACCACTGAGCCAAACCAGCCAGGGCTGTTAGTTCTTTTTTGAATGTTTGGTAATATTCACCTGTGAAGCCATCCAGTCTAGGACTTTTGTTTGTTGCAAGTTTTTTTGTTAGTTTGTTTGTTTTTTATTGCTTCAATTTCATTAGTTGTAATTGGTCTGTTCATATTTTCTGTTTCTTTTTTCATTCAGTTTTGAAAGAGTGCATGTTTCTAGGGAATTATCCATTTCATCCAGATTGTCCAATTTATCAGCATATAGTTGTATTCATAATATTTTCTTACAATTCTTTGTATTTCTGTGGTGTCAGTTGTTACTTCTCTTTCTTTCTTTTAAAATATTTTTTTGTTGTTGATTTTAGAGATAGAGGAAGGGAGAGGGAGAGAGAGAGAGAAACATCGATGAGAGAGAACATTGATTGGTTGCCCCCAGTATGCCCCCCACTGGGGATTTGGCCCATAACCTGATCAAGTGCCCTGACCGGAATCAAACCGGTGATCTCTTGGTGCATGGGTCAACGTTCAACCACTGAGCCATACCAGCCAGGCAAGGGGCTAGATGTTTAGAGAGTTCCTGGTTTAGGAGGCTGAGGGGAATACTTGCACCTAACAGATTACAGGAAGAGGAATTGGATTGAAGGAAAAGACAATGAATTTCATTTTGGATACTCTATACTTGCTCTATTCCTGACTTCTACCACCTTTTCTCAGCTAAAACTTTTATCATTTTGATCACCAGAAAGCTTCTTTCCGTGAGATTCAGTGGTCAGTTTTTAGTCATTGCTACCTCTCTGCAGTGCTTAATACTTAACTATTCCTTCTTTTGTGGTTTCTGTGACAATTCTGACGATTTCGTAAATTCTTGAAGGAAACTCTTCTTTTTCCCATCCCTTAAATCTGGTATTCCTTTAAGTAATTCATTCTCTTCTCATTCTACAAACGTTTTCTATGTTGGCCATAACTTCAACAATCACTTATACACACATAGATGTCCAATATGTATCTCAAATACCAGAATGACACATAAAGCTTAGGAGACTTTTATTCCAGGGAGTACCATAAGCACTTGTTAAACTAAAATCTTTAACTTCCACGACTGAAGTCTTTTTTTAAGTAATGTTTTGTCGAGCCAAAAATGCTAGCCAGAAAGACCAATCTTGGGTCATAGAGTCTAAACCACCAGCTTCATGGCTAGGTAGAAAAGAAGCATGTCCATTGCCCTAGAGTTGTTTTTTAAATCTTCACCCAGGGATATTTTTCCATTAATTTTTCAGATAGAGTGGAAGAGGGAGAGAGAGACAGAGAGACAGACAGAAACATCAATGCGAGAGAGGCACATCGATTGGTTGTCTCTCGCGCCACCCCAACCAGGGCCAGGGACTCAATCGCAACCAAGGTACAGTGTGCCCTTGACTGGAATCAAACCTACGACTCTGGTCCACAGGCTGATGCTCTAACCACTGAGCAAAACAGGCCAGGGCAATTGTCCCAGAGTTTTGCAAGTGTTTTTATACATTATGTGGGGAGATAGGGTAAGAGGTAGTCTGAAAGAATGTACATGATGTAAGGAATCGGGGGCGCCGCCGAATAAAACAGAGAAGAGACTGGAGAGCCAATCAGCCGAATAAACAGGGATCAGGCTTTATTGGGTGCACTCCGGGCGGGTTCACAGACTCCGGGGGTCGAGTCCTAGAAGCCGCGCTCAATGTAGGGGCTTGTGTCTTTTATATCTGCCTGTTGCAGCTGGAATTTGTCCCTTAGGGTTTGGCCCTGCGGGGGTTATGCATGGAGCCTCTGGAATATGAATAGATAAGATGGGAGTTAATCTATAGGCTGGAGGCAGGCCGTTCAGGGTGGGAGACAAGGCTGAGCAAGGAGACAATGGTCGAGCACTTTGCCTGGTGCCAGTTCCCCAAGCCATCGGACACATGAGTTATAGGCAAAGGAATGAGAGAAGGTGAAACGGGGCCAGCTCTGGGATAGCAGAATCTTAAATTATGTCCACTCCTGTGGAATGGCTCTCAGCAGAACTCTGGAAAGTACACGTGTAAACAATGAGCAAATGCTCTTGAAGTTAAATGGTGTCCGGCTACAATAATCTTTGGAAATAGCTACCTGGAAATCAATCTGAGGTTCCAACAAGCAAAACAGGAATGTAAAGAAGTCTTCTGGCCCTGGCCGGTTTGGCTCAGCTGTTAGAGCATCGGCCTGCGGACCAGAGAGTCCTGGGTTCAGTTCCCGCTAAGGGCATGTACCTAGGTTGCAGTTTGTCCCCAGCCCTGGTTGGGGTCGTGTGGATAGCAACCACTCGATGTGTCTCTCTCACATCGATGTTTCTCTCTCTCTTCCTCTCTCTCCCCCTCCTGCTCTATCTGAAGATAAATGCAAAAAAAAGAAAAAACATTATTAAAAAAAAAAAAGAAGTCTTCTGTTACCTGGTCAGCAGCCATTAACAAACTAACAGTCTGTCTCTTTCTCTCATTCTCCGGCCACTCTGATTTCATTTAAAACATCTCAGAGCCCTGGCCGGTTTTGCTGAGCAATTGAAGCATTGGCCTGCGGACCAGAGAGTCCTGGGTTCGGTTCCCGCTAGGGGCACGTACCAAAAAAAGAAAAAAAGAATAAAACATCTCAGACTTTTTTTTTTAATTCCTCACCTGAGAATATTTTTCTATTTATCATTAAATAGAGTGGGAGGGAGGGAGAGAGAGAGACAGAGAGAAATGTCGATGTGGTAGAGGCACATCGACTGGTTGCCTCCCACACGACGCATCCAGGGCTGGGAGGAACTGCAACTGAGGTACGTGCCCTTGACTGGAATCAAACCCGTGACTCTCGTCCATGGGCCAATGCTCTAACCACTGAGTGAAAACGGACAGGGCA